TTTGAGAAGCCTTTTCCCCCTTATAGAATGAGATCGGACGGTTATTTTACAAAACCGACAACACTTTGACCGAGTAGTTTTTTTGTGCTGAACAAAAAGTGTCATATAAACATCTGTCAAAAACCGTTTTTTACTTCACTTAAAATGCCACGTAAGCTACGTAAGAATATACGTAAGTATCTCAAAAAAGAAACAGACTCTCACAAATAAAATATTGAAGTCTGAAGGAGCTTTCGAGACAACAGATGGAAAAGTTTACTTCACTGACCAACAGTTCATTATAGAACATCTCATTGACTTAGAGTCGAAATATTCTAAACTTTACAACAAACACAAAAAGTTGAAAGGAAAACAAAAACAAATGGCATATGATATTTATGAAGATGTTGACGACACAACTGTTCCTGCAGGTGAGGTAAAGTCAGAGAAACCGAAAAGTGACGAAAAACCGATAGAAGAAGAAAAACCAAAAACTGAAGATAAACCAAAACCAAAGTTTAGTTTCCAAACTAAACCAAGTCAACCTTCATTAGCTGGTATGGTTGGCGTCAAAGACTTATGGCAGCAGGCGGTTATGTAAAGTAAAGAAAAAAAATTTTTTTATTTTTATAAAAATGCCCCCATATAGAATGGACAGAAAGTCTGCTAGAATAAAAGCAGAGTTGCAAAGATATGGTTGGAGAGTTTCGAAGAAGTTTAAATATAGGAAGGGAAGACCCATAAAAGTCTATGACAAATTGTCTGGTCTGACCTACGAAATGGATTTGGAAACAGCACGTGCAAATTATCCAAACAGACTAGAGAGGTTAGAAGAAGAACGTCTTATGGACATGCCTTTCGATGTTAGTGAAACCTCAAGTTGAAGGACACGACGGCTTTGCCAGATTCTTTTGGAAACATGACGAACAATTGCATCCTTTGAGAAGGAAAAAAGTGTAGAGAGAGATGGTCATGCTCCCATGGAAAGAACAAGATATGCATATGAGAAGTACCGTGAAGTTAGAAGTCAAATTACATCTGGTCGAACCTTTACAGTAAACTTTGACGAAGGAAAGAACAAAGAAGGCTTCATGGGTGTACTTGCTGCCATACAAGACGGAAATAAGAAAGGACACAATCTCAGATTGACCATAACAGATTTGGATAGTCACATTTACTATGCACATGGCAATGTCACAACAGCTGCAATGCTTCTTGACGCTTTCAAGACTACAAAGAGAGAACAAATGGTTGACTCCGACTCAGACATTTTGAATGCAATTGAAGGAATTGCAAGTGTCAAGTTCGAATGGTACCAACCTAACCCTCAAGCAGTCAGACAACATGCTGGATACTTCCCCTTCATAAATAAGTCTGACATTGACTTGACAAGGTATGGAATTTACAATTCAATTGAAACAATTGTCAACGAACCTTGCATTCTTACATGTCTCAGGAACTCTGGTCTTGTTACAGAAGAGAAGATGAAGTATCTTGAGTCATGTGTGAAGACAAGGTACATTCTCAGAGGTCAATTGACAAAAATTGCACCGTTGGCAAATGTCAATATCCGAGTCAACATACCTACAGCTAAAGGTTCTTCACATGACGACTATGTTGTTGACAAAGACTTACCATGGTTGAAGATTGCAATTGTCCACAACCACTTCATGTTGAACGAAAGTCTTACAAACCCATTGTTCGGAAAAGGCAAGTGCAACATTGTCAGAGCTGTAAACATTCTTTTCGAGAAAGGTTTGTTGGAACCAATTCCAGATGACAAGCTGACAGAAACTTTTGTACCAAAAGACGAAACAAACTTTTCATTGTTAGCAAGACCAAAAGTTGTTCCAGACAAAGTTCTAGTACAAAAGAAGTACACAATTCCACAAGGAGTTGGATTGTTCGGATACCAACCTGAACCAGAAGAACTTCCAATGAGGTTGCAAGAACTTCAAGATGCTATAAATAAACTTCCATTGAGACATCCAATTGACGTCAAATTGTATTGGAGAGCATCTGAGTTAGGTCAGAAGGTTTTATATGAAACAGGTTGCTTCGACGATGTTTATGAGATAACAGGAGAAGTTTCTCAGAAGATAAGAGACTCACTTGAATTTCCACAAACTGGACCAATTGGTTGCGACAAGTTCGACTTAGATGAAAAGATATACTATGTCGACCTTAACGCTGCATACATGAGGTTTGTCCAATATATTCCGACTGGAATTCCAAACGAAGATGGTGAGTTCCCGGGAAGGAACTATACAGTTGGAAAAGTCATACAACAACTGTATGATATTAGGAAAGCTTCAAACCCCAAACTTGCAATGACACTCAAATTGCTTATGAATTCGACATGGGGATATTCCATTAAGAAACCTCAAGAGATGAAGAGTAAACATTATGAGAAGGTCGACAACTTTGTTGAAAGGTTTTCTCCTTTTGTTTTGAAGTACGAATTCACTCAAGGTCAAAGTGGCTTAGTAACCACATTAAAACCTATTGTCGAACATTGGTCTTACCCTCAGTTCGCAAAGGCAGTCCTTGACAACTACAACAAATTCTTCTCCGAAGTCAAATCCAAAGTGAAGGTTTACTATGAGAACATTGACGCACTCATGACGAACGAAGAAGGGTACAACAAACTCATTGAAATGGGCATGGTCGGTGAAAAGATGGGCTGTTTTAAGCTAGATAAGGTATTTTCCGAAGTTCATGTCCTCTCCAAGCGTAAGTACTGGGGCATACTTGAAGACGGCACAGAAATAAAACATTGCATGAAATAAAAAATTTTTATATTCCTTCCTAGCTAATTTCCGTTTAATTTCATGGTCGCCCTCGGAGTCTTTGAATCGGATAGGTCGAGTTACACCATTCTTGGTCTCAAACTCATATATAACCTGTTTGTCTGTATTTTCGTCGACTATGGCACGAGACACGAACATTGACCAAACGGACAAAAAGTGTCATTTCGGATGGTCAAGCAGCCAATCGCATTCGAGCACTTCGAAGAAGCCTTACGTTCCAAGGGAGAGGATGTCTGGTGCAAGGCAGAGGTCATGAAACTCTACGAGCAGTACATCCTCAATGCCTGGGAGGACAAATCGTCCTTGGATTGGCAATTCTACCAACTCCTCTGGGACGACCTCCTACGCAACTGGGATAACGAAAGAGCCCAATTCAAAGGTCGGGAACTAATTTTGCAAATTACCCTTAATTTAACATACTTATCCAAATAAACACCTAAATTTACTTGGGGTTTCCCCCTAAAATAAAATTTTTTTACTCTTAGAACCACTCGAGGTTCTCCTTACGGTTGTTGAGCTTGTCACCGTCAATGTGTCTGACCCTCGTCTTCTTGTCTGGATTTGGAACCCATTGCATACCGACAAGCCTTCCCATGGAAATTGAACCGTAATTTCGAAGGTTAAGGTTCAAGTGTCCCAAGTTGTTGAGGACTGGGGTAAGAACCTTGCCTGTCTCCTTGTTGCGGATTTGGTATGGGTAGGGTTGGGAAATTTCGTAAGCGTCATCGACAACAAGGGTTGCCCAAACTTCCTTTTCTTCGTGTTTCTCTTCTTCTTCTTCCTCTTCTTCCTCTTCTTTGATAATACCTTCGGCAATTCTGTGTTCACGAAGTACGGTGTTGCATGTTCTGTCCTTTCCGAGTACCTTCCAGATGGCGTCTATCTCTTCGAAGAAACGGTAGATGAGTCGGGCAAGGTTTTGGTTCTCTATGTTGTATTGGCGCAAGGTTTCCGCGAAATCGTTCAGGACTTTCTTATTGGAAGCTTGGTTCGTGAGGACTTCGACTTTGAGATTGGTTATCTCTTCCATAAGACTACTTTGGAGAGTCTTAATGGTGTTTGACAGATGAGCGTTCAATTGGGCAATTTGAATTTGAACTGGGCGCTTGTCTGGCAACCTTGAAAGGACATCTGCCATTGAGTTTGGCTTCGGTGCTTGTTCGGACATCGAAAAATGAAGTGGTTTGAGAATGACGGTTTTACTTCAAAAAGCTTGTTATGACAGTTATGTCATACAACAAGTTTAAAATAATATCTTGTTCTTCTTCTGAACGTTTGTTGTCTCTTCCGATAAAAGTTTGGAACATGAGAACCAAAAAACGTTTTTTGAGATTGCGGAACAGTTCAGGCAAACGTTCATATTCCGGATATGTTGGGAGCAGTTCGAAACATCTGAGCTGACTTTCGGACAAAATTGGGACAATGTCAACAAATTCATCTTTGGTCGGACTGCTTGAAGGTAAGTCCCTTACATGTAAGTAGCTCTGGTAAAGTCTTCTCATTTCTGCTAACTTTTGGAGTATAGCTTCGTAGTTTAGAAGTTTTAATTTTAATTGTCTTATTCCACTCTTGACATCTAAACGGTAACTATCCATGAGGTCAAGAGTAGCTTTGGTAGCTTTAAGTGGAGCTATCTGTTCCTTGACTCTGCAATTTTGGTTGCAATTGTGATTTGAGCTCCTTCAAGTTCGCCGTCTATGTCGTTCTCAACGTCTTCAACGATGGCTTGAAACTCTTCATCGGTCCATTGAGATTGGTGTGGGACGAATTTAACTTGCTTCATTCAAAAAATGAAAAAAAATGTTTTTACTCTAAACGTTAAGGTTTACTGAACTGGTTGGATGTCGCCTTCACAGGTTATGTAGAACGGCTGACCCGAGAAGTGAAGGAGAGACTGAATTGCCAATTTCATATGGGGTAGGGGGTTCTCCTTGTTTGGTATTTTTATCCAAGGACGTTTGTTTAGGAACTTAACAAGAGCTTCTCTTTTGGCGTCCTTTATGCCATCGTAGGCTGTCCCGTCTGGTATTTGAATTGGAATTCCAGTCGAAGTCTCGAGCTGAAGTGTAGACCTTCCAGAAATAGTGGTGAACTTGACCTTGGGCTTCATGACCTTGCGCAAGTAGTCTTTAACAGGCTCGTTAATTTCAATTAGGTAAATTGCCTCGTCAAATCCTTCTGGCATTCCGAGTCCTTCCATCCGACAGGAAAATATTTTCCCGACAACTGGAAAAAATTTTCCTTCCGACAGAAAAAATTTTTCCTTCCGACAGGAAGAACTCTTCCAGTTGTCCGTCCGTAAACCATTCAAATTTTCGAAAATTGAGAACTTTTTGGTCGAACTTCAGAAAAAGTTTTTCCTTCCGACAGAAAAAGTTTTTCCTTCCGACAGAAAAAGTTCTTCCTTCCGACAGGAAAAGTTTTTCCTTCCGACAGGAAAAGTTTTTCCTTCCGACAGGACACAAACGGATGACTGACGTTCCTCTTCCTGAACGCCTTCCAAAGCCAGAAGAACCGAAAGCTGCAGAACCACAACAGTCTCCTCAGCAACCTCAGTTCCAGCAAGTCCCTCCACCAAATTACTACCAATTTCCACCTCAAGGTTACTACCCACCACAAGGCTTCCCGAACTACCCTCCTCAGCCTATGCCTTACTTCCCCAACCCTTGGATGTTCCAGCAAGCTCCACCCCAGCAATTCCAATCTCAATCCAAATCGAAGAGAGACCAAGAGTTCGAAGAAGGTCTGAACCGCTTACGCAAAGATTATGCCACAGCCCCTATGGAAGACGACAGGCTTTCAGTCTCTTCCTCAAATCGACCGATTCGACTCGTACCACAGATTCGGTTCGCGACCGTGAAGACTACCTCAAGCAGTCTGAGAGACTCTTCATCCTACAATCATTTACAGTTGGAGCTCTCAAGAACATGCGCAATTACGAAGGTCAGACACCAGCTGGAGACCGCAAAACAGACGTACTCGCAAGAGCCGTCCAGCTCGTCAAAACAAAGACTGAGATAGTCGACTTCATTCTTGCAGCTTGCCCATACAAGTAAAAAAAATAAACAATTACGAGTTAAACTTTTATTCTTTCTTTTCTGAGTTGTTTAGAGCTGGTTTCTCTTGTAGGAACCTTTCGTACTCTTCCATGGTCATGTAATTGCGAATTTGGTACGCAATTCAGGTTCGTTGTTTTGAACCTTACGTATGTAACGCTTCCATCCTCCTCAGGGAAGTAAGCTGCTAACATCTGACCAAGTTTTCTCGGTGACTCGGAGCTCATAAAAATGTCACTTTTTTAAACGTTAAGTTTTAGTCTTATTTTACCCTTTGTTTACCCTTTGTTTGTCAAGGTAGTATTGGAGTGCAATTTCTCCAAATTCTCTGTGTCGGAGTTCTTCAGCATTTTCCAAGGTGACCTGGAGAACTCAAAGAAGTTGTCAAGAACATACTGCCATGCTGCTCTTCTGAGTTCGTCGGTATTTTGGAAGTGTTGCACCTTCGAGTCTTCTGACATGAAAAAAATGACACTTTTTCATTTTTTTGTATTTGACGAGAATGTCGGGTAGATGGTTAGATCTAACACGTTTTTTCACCTCTTTTTTCACCTCTTGAATTTTCATGACTTCTTCGTAAATGTTTTGTCAAGACTTCTTCGTAAATGTTTTGTCATGACTTCTTCGTAAATGTTTTGTCAAGACTTCTTCGTAATGAGTGTAAAGGACCCAAAAATATAATTTAGGGTAGAAGGTTAGATCTAACCTGTTTTCTAACCTGTTTTCTACCCTCTTGAATTTTCATGACTTCTTCTTCGTAAATGTTTTGTCAAGACTTCATCGTAAATGTTTTGTCAAGACTTCTTCGTAAATGTTTTGTCAAGACTTCTTCGTAAATGTTTTGTCAAGACTTCTTCGTAAATGTTTTGTCAAGACTTCTTCGTAAATGTTTTGTCAAGACTTCTTCGTAAATGTTTTGTCAAGACTTCTTCGTAAATGTTTTGTCAAGACTTCTTCGTAAATGTTTTGTCAAGACTTCTTCGTAAATGTTTTGTCAAGACTTCTTCGTAAATGTTTTGTCAAGACTTCTTCGTAAATGTTTTGTCAAGACTTCTTCGTAAATGTTTGTCAAGACTTCTTCGTAAATGTTTTGTCAAGACTTCTTCGTAAATGTTTTGTCAAGACTTCTTCGTAAATGTTTTGTCAAGACTTCTTCGTAAATGTTTTGTCAAGACTTCTTCGTAAATGTTTTGTCAAGACTTCTTCGTAAATGTTTTGTCAAGACTTCTTCGTAAATGTTTTGTCAAGACTTCTTCGTAAATGTTTTGTCAAGACTTCTTCGTAAATGTTTTGTCAAGACTTCTTCGTAAATGTTTTGTCAAGACTTCTTCGTAATGAGTGTAAAGGACCCAAAAATATAATTTAGGGTAGAAGGTTAGATCTAACCTGTTTTCTAACCTGTTTTCTACCCTCTTGAATTTTCATGACTTCTTCATCGTAAATGTTTTGTCATAACTTCTTCGTAAATGTTTTGTCAAGACTTCTTCGTAATGAGTGTAAAGGACCCAAAAATATAATTTAGGGTAGAATGTTAGATCTAACCTGTTTTCTAACCTGTTTTCTACCCTCGTGAATTTGTCATGACTTCTTGGTAAATGTTTTGTCAAGACTTCTTCGTAAATGTTTTGTCAAGACTTCTTCGTAAATGTTTTGTCAAGACTTCTTCGTAATGAGTGTAAAGGACCCAAAAATATAATTTAGGGTAGATGGTTAGATCTAACCTCATTTCTAACCTCATTTCTACCCTCTTGAATTTTCATGAATTTCCTTAAGATAGAAAAAATAAAGTTAGTTTTATTTTTTTATTTTGTATAAAAGATATGATTTCAGGGATTTTTTTGACGAAGTGTCAACCTTCACTTCGTCAAAAAATAACAGTTATCTAATGAAAAAGTGTCATTTTTTTGTATTTGACGAGAATGTCGGGTAGAAGGTTAGATCTAACCTCTTTTCTAACCTCTTTTCTAACCTCGTGAATTTGTCAAGACTTCTTCGTAAATGTTTTGTCAAGACTTCTTCGTAAATGTTTTGTCAAGGCTTCATCGTAAATGTTTTGTCAAGACTTCTTCGTAATGAGTGTAAATGTTTTGTGAAGAATATAGCAACAGTCTGAATTCAGACGGTTGGTTTTTATATAAAATTCATGCAGGAAATTCTTGAGTTTTGGTTGAAAGAATACGGTGGAGCCAAAAGTGGCTCGACCTCAAAACAAGCATTTTATGAGCTTACTAAGGGTGTTATGAATGAATTCAAAGGTATTTACATACATCCTGACCTCGTTCATTTTGTTGCTGAATTCAGCAAAAATAATGTTTAGGTGAAGAGGTTAGATCTAACCTGTTTCTAACCTCTTTTCTAACCTCTTGAATTTGTCATGACTTCTTCGTAAATGTTTTGTCAAGACTTCTTCGTAAATGTTTTGTCAAGACTTCTTCGTAAATGTTTTGTCAAGACTTCTTCGTAAATGTTTTGTCAAGACTTCTTCGTAAATGTTTTGTCAAGGCTTCATCGTAAATGTTTTGTCAAGACTTCTTCGTAATGAGTGTAAATGTTTTGTGAAGAATATAGCAACAGTCTGAATTCAGACGGTTGGTTTTTATATAAAATTCATGCAGGAAATTCTTGAGTTTTGGTTGAAAGAATACGGTGGAGCCAAAAGTGGCTCGACCTCAAAACAAGCATTTTATGAGCTTACTAAGGGTGTTATGAATGAATTCAAAGGTATTTACATACATCCTGACCTCGTTCATTTTGTTGCTGAATTCAGCAAAAATAATGTTTAGGTGAAGAGGTTAGATCTAACCTGTTTTCTAACCTCTTTTCTAACCTCTTGAATTTGTCATGACTTCTTCGTAAATGTTTTGTCAAGACTTCTTCGTAAATGTTTTGTCAAGACTTCTTCGTAAATGTTTTGTCAAGACTTCTTCGTAAATGTTTTGTCAAGACTTCTTCGTAAATGTTTTGTCAAGGCTTCATCGTAAATGTTTTGTCAAGACTTCTTCGTAATGAGTGTAAATGTTTTGTGAAGAATATAGCAACAGTCTGAATTCAGACGGTTGGTTTTTATATAAAATTCATGCAGGAAATTCTTGAGTTTTGGTTGAAAGAATACGGTGGAGCCAAAAGTGGCTCGACCTCAAAACAAGCATTTTATGAGCTTACTAAGGGTGTTATGAATGAATTCAAAGGTATTTACATACATCCTGACCTCGTTCATTTTGTTGCTGAATTCAGCAAAAATAATGTTTAGGTGAAGAGGTTAGATCTAACCTGTTTTCTAACCTCTTTTCTAACCTCTTGAATTTGTCATGACTTCTTCGTAAATGTTTTGTCAAGACTTCTTCGTAAAGGACCCAAAAATATAATTTAGGGTAGAAGGTTAGATCTAACCTCTTTTCTAACCTCTTGAATTTGTCATGACTTCTTCGTAAATGTTTTGTCAAGACTTCTTCGTAAAGGACCCAAAAATATAATTTAGGGTAGAAGGTTAGATCTAACCTCTTTTCTAACCTCTTGAATTTGTCATGACTTCTTCGTAAATGTTTTGTCAAGACTTCTTCGTAAAGGACCCAAAAATATAATTTAGGGTAGAAGGTTAGATCTAACCTGTTTTCTAACCTGTTTTCTACCCTCGTGAATTTGTCATGACTTCTTCGTAAATGTTTTGTCAAGACTTCTTCGTAAAGGACCCAAAAATATAATTTAGGGTAGAAGGTTAGATCTAACCTCTTTTCTAACCTCTTTTCTAACCTCTTGAATTTGTCATGACTTCTTCGTAAATGTTTTGTCATGACTTCTTCGTAATGAGTGTAAAGGACCCAAAAATATAATTTAGGGTAGAAGGTTAGATCTAACCTGTTTTCTAACCTCTTTTCTAACCTCTTGAATTTGTCATGACTTCTTCGTAAATGTTTTGTCATGACTTCTTCGTAAAGGACCCAAAAATATAATTTAGGGTAGAAGGTTAGATCTAACCTCTTTTCTAACCTCTTTTTTCACCTCTTGAATTTGTCATGAATTTTCCCGAAATAAAAAATAAAGTTAGTTTTATTTTTTTATTTTTTTTTATTTTGTATAAAAGATATGATTTCAACAATAGGTTCTACAACACTTCAAACAACAACAGCACCAAACTCGTTAGTCATGAATCCAACATCTATGTTAGTAGAGATGAAAAGCTTTATTCCTTCTTCATATACTTTTGAAACAGAAATCCAGAAGATAAAGCAGGAACTTTTAACATGTAATTTAGACTGTAGTGCGAAAGATGAAACAAATGAACAGTATCTTTATGAAATGCAGGACATTATTGACCATTTGCCCAAATTGCCTGAAATCCAACAACAAAAACTAACTATTCCTGAATTCGATGAAATAGAAGTCAAAGCAACTGACTCAGTAGAAATAAAGAAGTTCATACGAAAGGTAAACTATGAATTCCTTGGTTTTCATTGCAACCATAAGGTTATGGACAAAGATTGCGACATGGTATATAAGAATGTTTCTGACATATATAAATCTGAAGAATTTAAGACCTACGACAATTTTGTTTCGTTAGTTGCTGAATGTGTATGGCAGATAAGAGATAAAGATAGAAGAGGCAAAGTATGGAATGAACAGATAAAACCAGCAGCTTTTGAGTTAAAGAAAACCATTGACGCTTTAGTTGTTTTAGCTGGTTTTATTTCAATGTATAACGCAAAAATGAACCCGCAATGTTCAAAATGTAAAGCGGCAATTAGGAAATATAACTACTCCGTCAAAGAGATAGAAAGAATGAGAAACGACTATGCAGACTTAAAGAAAGAAGCAGAGAAGCCGGTAGAAAATAAAATGGACATGTTAGAATTTCTGAACAAAAACTATCCAACTGCTGACGATTTCCTTCTATCTGATGTCAAGAAGAAATATAAAGAGACTTTCGGCATAGTTAAAACATTCGATATCCTCAGCGAAGAAATAGAAGCTACAAAACTGTTTAGAGTCTCACGAATTCATAACGTTTACCATGTGAAACGTTTATAAAATAACTGGGGTAGAAAAGAGGGTAGAAATGAGGTTAGATCTAACCTTCTACCCTAAACATTATTTTTGCTGAATTCAGCAACAAAATTCTGAGTAAAATAATTTTTAGGGCATGTGTCAAAACCGTTGAGTTTTCACAAAATTTAAAAAATAACGTTTACCATGTGAAACGCTTATAAAATAACTGGGGTAGAAAAGAGGTTAGAAAACAGGTTAGATCTAACCTTCTACCCTAAACATTATTTTTGTCTGATTTACGCTCATTACGAAGAAGTCTTGACAAAACATTTACGCTCATTACGAAGAAGTCTTGACAAAACATTTACGTTCATGTTTGACAAAACATTTACGTTCATGTTTGACAAAACATTTACGTTCATGTTTGACAAAACATTTACGTTCATGTTTGACAAAACATTTACGAAGAAGTCTTGACAAAACATTTACGAAGAAGTCTTGACAAAACATTTACGAAGAAGTCTTGACAAAACATGTACGAAGAAGTCTTGACAAAACATGTACGATGAAATCATGAAAATTCATGAGGTGAGAAAAGAGGTGAGAAAAGAGGTTAGATCTAACCATCTACCCTAAAATATATTTTTGGGTCCTTTACACTCATTACAATGAAGTCTTGACAAAAACTATCCAACAGCAGAAGATTTCCTTCTATCTGACGTCAAGAAGAAATATAAAGAAACTTTCCGGCATTGTTAAAACATTCGATGTACTAAAAGAAGAAATAGAAGCTACAAAACTGTTTAGGATTTCAAATATACATCGTACAATTCATGTAAAACGCTTGTGAAAAAAAGAGGTGAGAAAACAGGTGAGATCTCACCACTTCACCTAAACATTATTTTTGGGTCCTTTACACTCATTACGAAGAAGTCTTGACAAAACATTTACGAAGAAGTCATGACAAAATTCAAGAGGTGAGAAAACAGGTGAGAAAACAGGTGAGATCTCACCACTTCACCTAAAATATATTTTTGCTGAATTCCGTATGAAAATTCATGAGTTTTGTGTGTTTTAGACCATGTTAGAAAACAGGTGAGAAAACAGGTTAGATCTAACCATCTACCCTAAAATATATTTTTGGGTCCTTTACAATGAAGTCTTGACAAAACATGGAATCTCTTCCCTCGGAAAACCGAGAGAAGAGATTCCGTATGAAAACAGTGAAGAACAGCGAGTAAGTAAAAAAACTTAGTCGCCAAAACTCTATGAAAACAGTGAAGAACAGCGAGACCGTTTTTTTTCTGGGTCGCCAAAACTCTATGAAAACAGTGAAGAACAGCGAGACCGTTTTTTTTCTGGGTCGCCAAAACTCTATGAAAACAGTGAAGAACAGCGAGTAAGTAAGAAACCTTAGTCGCCAAAACTCTATGAAAACAGTGAAGAACAGCGAGTAAGTAAAAAAACTTAGTCGCCAAAACTCTATGAAAACAGTGAAGAACAGCGAGTAGGTAAGAAACCTTAGTCGCCAAAACTCTATGAAAATCGTGAAGAACAGCGAGACCGTTTTTTTCTGGGTCGCCAAAACTCTATGAAAACAGTGAAGAACAGCGAGTAGGTAAGAAACCTTAGTCGCCAAAACTCTATGAAAATCATGAATTTCCTTAAGACAGAAAAAATAAAATTAGTTTTATTTTTATTTATTTTTTTATTTTGTATGTAAAGACATATATGACAAACATTGAGTTTGAAACAGTTAAAAAGATAGACAATGACACCAAATTGGTTAGAATAGGTGATTTAAACGTAAGATACTCAAAGAAATACAACAAATATTCTTTGTCAGACATTATATCTCCATCTGGAAAGAAACCGAAGGACTGGGTTAGAAATGCTTCAACTCAGAAAATTTTGACAAGAAATCCTGAGCTTATGATATCGGTAAGATTCTATGGAACTACAGCATATCTCATCGACAAAAGTCTTATACCAATAGTTTTGTTATGGTTAGACCCAGTTGTTGGATATAACTTCATAACATATGGTTCATTCGATACGGAACGTTGCAGTGAAGGCTTACTTTACATCGTTCAGAAACCGAAGGACTTCAATACAAAGAGATATAAGATAGGAAGAACATATAATATAACTCAAAGATATGACAGTACAGTCAATAGAGTCAAGGTTGTGTTTGCTAATGATATGAGAGCTGCAGAAACAGAACTACTTGAAAAGTTTGAGAAAATGTATGGTGCTCCCATAAAAGGTAAAGAAACGTTTGAAGTAGATGAGATAGATAAAGCTATAAAATTATTTGACGAAGTTGCTGAAAAATACATGTAAAGCGTTTATTTTTGGTCTTTTGTGAAAGTCAGAAAAAATAAAACTAACTTTATTTTTTCTGTCTTAAGGAAATTCACGATTTTCATAGAGTTTTGGCGACTAAGGTTTCTTACCTACTCGCTGTTCTTCACTGTTTTCATAGAGTTTTGGCGACCCAGAAAAAAACGGTCTCGCTGTTCTTCACGATTTTCATAGAGTTTTGGCGACCCAGAAAAAAACGGTCTCGCTGTTCTTCATGATTTTCATAGAGTTTTGGCGACTAAGGTTTCTTACCTACTCGCTGTTCTTCACTGTTTTCATAGAGTTTTGGCGACCCAGAAAAAAAACGGTCTCGCTGTTCTTCACGATTTTCATAGAGTTTTGGCGACTAAGGTTTCTTACCTACTCGCTGTTCTTCACTGTTTTCATAGAGTTTTGGCGACCCAGAAAAAAAACGGTCTCGCTGTTCTTCACGATTTTCATAGAGTTTTGGCGACTAAGGTTTCTTACCTACTCGCTGTTCTTCACTGTTTTCATAGAGTTTTGGCGACCCAGAAAAAAAACGGTCTCGCTGTTCTTCACTGTTTTCATAGAGTTTTGGCGACTAAGTTTTTTTACTTACTCGCTGTTCTTCACTGTTTTCATAGAGTTTTGGCGACTAAGTTTTTTTACTTACTCGCTGTTCTTCACGATTTTCATAGAGTTTTGGCGACTAAGGTTTCTTACCTACTCGCTGTTCTTCACTGTTTTCATAGAGTTTTGGCGACCCAGAAAAAAAAACGGTCTCGCTGTTCTTCACTGTTTTCATAGAGTTTTGGCGACTAAGTTTTTTTACTTACTCGCTGTTCTTCACTGTTTTCATAGAGTTTTGGCGACCCAGAAAAAAAACGGTCTCGCTGTTCTTCACTGTTTTCATAGAGTTTTGGCGACTAAGTTTTTTTACTTACTCGCTGTTCTTCACTGTTTTCATACGGAATCTCTTCTCTCGGTTTTCCGAGGGAAGAGATTCCATGTTTTGTCAAGACTTCATTGTAAAGGACCCAAAAATATATTTTAGGGTAGATGGTTAGATCTAACCTGTTTTCTCACCTGTTTTCTAACATGGTCTAAAACACACAAAACTCATGAATTTTCATACGGAATTCAGCAAAAATATATTTTAGGTGAAGTGGTGAGATCTCACCTGTTTTCTCACCTGTTTTCTCACCTCTTGAATTTGTCATGACTTCTTCGTAAATGTTTTGTCAAGACTTCTTCGTAATGAGTGTAAAGGACCCAAAAATAATGTTTAGGTGAAGTGGTGAGATCTCACCTGTTTTCTCACCTCTTTTTTTCACAAGCGTTTTACATGAATTGTACGATGTATATTTGAAATCCTAAACAGTTTTGTAGCTTCTATTTCTTCTTTTAGTACATCGAATGTTTTAACAATGCCGAAAGTTTCTTTATATTTCTTCTTGACGTCAGATAGAAGGAAATCTTCTGCTGTTGGATAGTTTTTGTCAAGACTTCATTGTAATGAGTGTAAAGGACCCAAAAATATATTTTAGGGTAGATGGTTAGATCTAACCTCTTTTCTCACCTCTTTTCTCACCTCATGAATTTTCATGATTTCATCGTACATGTTTTGTCAAGACTTCTTCGTAAATGTTTTGTCAAGACTTCTTCGTACATGTTTTGTCAAGACTTCTTCGTAAATGTTTTGTCAAGACTTCTTCGTAAATGTTTTGTCAAACATGAACGTAAATGTTTTGTCAAACATGAACGTAAATGTTTTGTCAAACATGAACGTAAATGTTTTGTCAAACATGAACGTAAATGTTTTGTCAAGACTTCTTCGTAATGAGCGTAAATGTTTTGTCAAGACTTCTTCGTAATGAGCGTAAATCAGACAAAAATAATGTTTAGGGTAGAAGGTTAGATCTAACCTGTTTTCTAACCTCTTTTCTACCCCAGTTATTTTATAAGCGTTTCACATGGTAAACGTTATTTTTTAAATTTTGTGAAAACTCAACGGTTTGACACATGCCCTAAAAATTATTTTACTCAGAATTTTGTTGCTGAATTCAGCAAAAATAATGTTTAGGGTAGAAGGTTAGATCTAACCTCATTTCTACCCTCTTTTCTACCCCAGTTATTTTATAAACGTTTCACATGGTAAACGTTATGAATTCGTGAGACTCTAAACAGTTTTGTAGCTTCTATTTCTTCGCTGAGGATATCGAATGTTTTAACTATGCCGAAAGTCTCTTTATATTTCTTCTTGACATCAGATAGAAGGAAATCGTCAGCAGTTGGATAGTTTTTGTTCAGAAATTCTAACATGTCCATTTTATTTTCTACCGGCTTCTCTGCTTCTTTCTTTAAGTCTGCATAGTCGTTTCTCATTCTTTCTATCTCTTTGACGGAGTAGTTATATTTCCTAATTGCCGCTTTACATTTTGAACATTGCGGGTTCATTTTTGCGTTATACATTGAAATAAAACCAGCTAAAACAACTAAAGCGTCAATGGTTTTCTTTAACTCAAAAGCTGCTGGTTTTATCTGTTCATTCCATACTTTGCCTCTTCTATCTTTATCTCTTATCTGCCATACACATTCAGCAACTAACGAAACAAATTGTCGTAGGTCTTAAATTCTTCAGATTTATATATGTCAGAAACATTCTTATATACCATGTCGCAATCTTTGTCCATAACCTTATGGTTGCAATGAAAACCAAGGAATTCATAGTTTACCTTTCGTATGAACTTTTTATTTCTACTGAGTCAGTTGCTTTGACTTCTATTTCATCGAATTCAGGAATAGTTAGTTTTTGTTGTGGATTTCAGGCAATTTGGGCAAATGGTCAATAATGTCCTGCATTTCATAAAGATACTGTTCATTTGTTTCATCTTTCGCACTACAGTCTAAATTACATGTTAAAAGTTCCTGCTTTATCTTCTGGATTTCTGTTTCAAAAGTATATGAAGAAGGAATAAAGCTTTTCATCTCTACTAACATAGATGTTGGATTCATGACTAACGAGTTTGGTGCTGTTGTTGTTTGAAGTGTTGTAGAACCTATTGTTGAAATCATATCTTTTATACAAAATAAAAAAAAATAAAAAAATAAAACTAACTTTATTTTTTATTTCGGGAAAATTCATGACAAATTCAAGAGGTGAAAAAAGAGGTTAGAAAAGAGGTTAGATCTAACCTTCTACCCTAAATTATATTTTTGGGTCCTTTACGAAGAAGTCATGACAAAACATTTACCAAGAAGTCATGACAAATTCAAGAGGTTAGAAAAGAGGTTAGAAAACAGGTTAGATCTAACCTTCTACCCTAAATTATATTTTTGGGTCCTTTACACTCATTACGAAGAAGTCATGACAAAACATTTACGAAGAAGTCATGACAAATTCAAGAGGTTAGAAAAGAGGTTAGAAAAGAGGTTAGATCTAACCTTCTACCCTAAATTATATTTTTGGGTCCTTTACGAAGAAGTCATGACAAATTCAAGAGGTTAGAAAAGAGGTTAGAAAAGAGGTTAGATCTAACCTTCTACCCTAAATTATATTTTTGGGTCCTTTACGAAGAAGTCATGACAAAACATTTACGAAGAAGTCATGACAAATTCAAGAGGTTAGAAAAGAGGTTAGAAAAGAGGTTAGATCTAACCTTCTACCCTAAATTATATTTTTGGGTCCTTTACGAAGAAGTCTTGACAAAACATTTACGAAGAAGTCATGACAAATTCAAGAGGTTAGAAAAGAGGTTAGAAAACAGGTTAGATCTAACCTCTTCACCTAAACATTATTTTTGCTGAATTCAGCAACAAAATGAACGAGGTCAGGATGTATGTAAATACCTTTGAATTCATTCATAACACCCTTAGTAAGCTCATAAAATGCTTGTTTTGAGGTCGAGCCACTTTTGGCTCCACCGTATTCTTTCAACCAAAACTCAAGAATTTCCTGCATGAATTTTATATAAAAACCAACCGTCTGAATTCAGACTGTTGCTATATTCTTCACAAAACATTTACGCTCATTACGATGAAGAAGTCTTGACAAAACATGTACGATGAAGTCTTGACAAAACATTTACGATGAAGTCTTGACAAAACATTTACGAAGAAGTCATGACAAAACATTTACGATGAAGAAGTCATGAAAATTCAAGAGGGTAGAAAACAGGTTAGAAAACAGGTTAGATCTAACCTTCTACCCTAAATTATATTTTTGGGTCCTTTACACTCATTACGAAGAAGTCTTGACAAAACATTTACGAAGAAGTCATGACAAAACATTTACGAAGAAGTCTTGACAAAACATTTACGAAGAAGTCTTGACAAAACATTTACGAAGAAGTCTTGACAAAACATTTACGAAGAAGTCTTGACAAAACATTTACGAAGAAGTCTTGACAAAACATTTACGAAGAAGTCTTGACAAAACATTTACGAAGAAGTCTTGACAAAACATTTACGAAGAAGTCTTGACAAAACATTTACGAAGAAGTCTTGACAAAACATGTACGATGAAGTCTTGACAAAACATTTACGATGAAGTCTTGACAAAACATTTACGAAGAAGTCATGACAAAACATTTACGATGAAGAAGTCATGAAAATTCAAGAGGGTAGAAAACAGGTTAGAAAACAGGTTAGATCTAACCTTCTACCCTAAATTATATTTTTGGGTCCTTTACACTCATTACGAAGAAGTCTTGACAAAACATTTACGAAGAAGTCTTGACAAAACATTTACGAAGAAGTCTTGACAAAACATTTACGAAGAAGTCTTGACAAAACATTTACGAAGAAGTCTTGACAAAACATTTACGAAGAAGTCTTGACAAAACATTTACGAAGAAGTCTTGACAAAACATTTACGAAGAAGTCTTGACAAAACATTTACGAAGAAGTCTTGACAAAACATTTACGAAGAAGTCTTGACAAAACATTTACGAAGAAGTCTTGACAAAACATTTACGAAGAAGTCTTGACAAAACATTTACGAAGAAGTCTTGACAAAACATTTACGAAGAAGTCTTGACAAAACATTTACGAAGAAGTCTTGACAAAACATTTACGAAGAAGTCTTGACAAAACATTTACGAAGAAGTCTTGACAAAACATTTACGAAGAAGTCTTGACAAAACATTTACGAAGAAGTCTTGACAAAACATTTACGAAGAAGTCTTGACAAAACATTTACGAAGAAGTCTTGACAAAACATTTACGAAGAAGTCTTGACAAAACATTTACGAAGAAGTCTTGACAAAACATTTACGAAGAAGTCTTGACAAAACATTTACGAAGAAGTCTTGACAAAACATTTACGAAGAAGTCTTGACAAAACATTTACGAAGAAGTCTTGACAAAACATTTACGAAGAAGTCTTGACAAAACATTTACGAAGAAGTCTTGACAAAACATTTACGAAGAAGTCTTGACAAAACATTTACGAAGAAGTCTTGACAAAACATTTACGAAGAAGTCTTGACAAAACATTTACGAAGAAGTCTTGACAAAACATTTACGAAGAAGTCTTGACAAAACATTTACGAAGAAGTCTTGACAAAACATTTACGAAGAAGTCTTGACAAAACATTTACGAAGAAGTCTTGACAAAACATTTACGAAGAAGTCTTGACAAAACATTTACGAAGAAGTCTTGACAAAACATTTACGAAGAAGTCTTGACAAAACATTTACGAAGAAGTCTTGACAAAACATTTACGAAGAAGTCTTGACAAAACATTTACGATGAAGTCTTGACAAAACATTTACGAAGAAGAAGTCATGAAAATTCAAGAGGGTAGAAAACAGGTTAGAAAACAGGTTAGATCTAACCTTCTACCCTAAATTATATTTTTGGGTCCTTTACACTCATTACGAAGAAGTCTTGACAAAACATTTACGAAGAAGTCATGACAAAACATTTACGAAGAAGTCTTGACAAAACATTTACGAAGAAGTCATGAAAATTCAAGAGGTGAAAAAAGAGGTGAAAAAACGTGTTAGATCTAACCATCTACCCGACATTCTCGTCAAATACAAAAAAATGAAAAAGTGTCATTTTTTTCATGTCAGAAGACTCGAAGGTGCAACACTTCCAAAATACCGACGAACTCAGAAGAGCAGCATGGCAGTATGTTCTTGACAACTTCTTTGAGTTCTCCAGGTACACCTTGGAAAATGCTGAAGAACTCCGACACAGAGAATTTGGAGAAATTGCACTCCAATACTACCTTGACAAACAAAGGGTAAACAAAGGGTAAAATAAGACTAAAAACTTAACGTTTAAAAAGTGACATTTTTATGAGCTCCGAGTCACCGAGAAAACTTGGTCAGATGTTAGCAGCTTACTTCCCTGAGGAGGATGGAAGCGTTACATACGTAAGGTTCAAAAACAACGAACCTGGAATTGCGTACCAAATTCGCAATTACATGACCATGGAAGAGTACGAAAGGTTCCTACAAGAGAAACCAGCTCTAAACAACTCAGAAAAGAAAGAATAAAAAGTTTAACTCGTAATTGTTTATTTTTTTTTACTTGTATGGGCAAGCTGCAAGAATGAAGTCGACTATCTCAGTCTTTGTTTTGACGAGCTGGACGGCTCTTGCGAGTACGTCTGTTTTGCGGTCTCCAGCTGGTGTCTGACCTTCGTAATTGCGCATGTTCTTGAGAGCTCCAACTGTAAATGATTGTAGGATGAAGAGTCTCTCAGACTGCTTGAGGTAGTCTTCACGGTCGCGAACCGAATCTGTGGTACGAGTCGAATCGGTCGATTTGAGGGAAGAGACTGAAAGCCTGTCGTCTTCCATAGGGGCTGTGGCATAATCTTTGCGTAAGCGGTTCAGACCTTCTTCGAACTCTTGGTCTCTCTTCGATTTGGATTGAGATTGGAATTGCTGGGGTGGAGCTTGCTGGAACATCCAAGGGTTGGGGAAGTAAGGCATAGGCTGAGGAGGGTAGTTCGGGAAGCCTTGTGGTGGGTAGTAACCTTGAGGTGGAAATTGGTAGTAATTTGGTGGAGGGACTTGCTGGAACTGAGGTTGCTGAGGAGACTGTTGTGGTTCTGCAGCTTTCGGTTCTTCTGGCTTTGGAAGGCGTTCAGGAAGAGGAACGTCAGTCATCCGTTTGTGTCCTGTCGGAAGGAAAAACTTTTCCTGTCGGAAGGAAAAACTTTTCCTGTCGGAAGGAAGAACTTTTTCTGTCGGAAGGAAAAACTTTTTCTGTCGGAAGGAAAAACTTTTTCTGAAGTTCGACCAAAAAGTTCTCAATTTTCGAAAATTTGAATGGTTTACGGACGGACAACTGGAAGAGTTCTTCCTGTCGGAAGGAAAAATTTTTTCTGTCGGAAGGAAAATTTTTTCCAGTTGTCGGGAAAATATTTTCCTGTCGGATGGAAGGACTCGGAATGCCAGAAGGATTTGACGAGGCAATTTACCTAATTGAAATTAACGAG